CATGTGACATTGCTACTTCAGCTCTAATTTTGTGTTAAAGGTAAGGTCTTTTAGGACTGGGTTTTGTTGCATTCATAACGGGATTCGCATAATTAATTACTTTATTAGTCTTCAACATTGCATCGAATATTATCTTAGAATTATGGAAAGTAATCACTAGTTTTTAATAAAATGTAGTTCAATAAAAAAAAATAATAACTGCACTCAATTCAGATTTCGGATTTCTTCAATTCTGGAAGTTGTGACTATCAAATATGAATATCCGTGGTTATTGTTATTTGAGGAGCATTAAATTTTATGAATTCGATGAGAAACCATCTATAATCTGTAGATAATTTACAGAATGAGGAAAATCTTAAATGAATGCGATAATTTTTTTTACTGAATTATGTGTTACTGAAAATGGTGACCACTACCAATAATTTATTTGAAAGGAGTTACAAATTTCTCAACTTCGTTTCATTTTTAGTATCAAACAAATCAAATTTCCGCTGACAATGAAATCAGATTTGTATCGCCTGCCTATTAAAAATAAACATATTTCTTTAGGGGTGGAGGTACTTTTCCCACTTTTGTAAATGCAATTTCTTAAGTTATTAATATTATGTCAAAAACTGACATCTAAATATTTACATGTACCAGCAAACCAAATTTCATTTAAATCGGTATAGAAAAATTGAATTATTTTACTAAATTTAACGTCATTTTGCGGCTAAACGAAGCAACATGATAATATAGAGCACATATCATAGATATCATAGTTCCAGAACTCTGTCTGTTCGTTTACAAATCACCCTGTATATTTTTAGCGTATTTAATTTTTTTTTGTCTTACTTTTCATCTGCATATTCACTTTTGAGAAGAAAAGGTTGAGTCATTGTTTGGTGAATGGAGAATATTAGATTTATAACATTATTAGATAGGTATATATATTAAAGTAGCAATAAGTTGTTACCTTAAAATAACATTAAGCAAATTATACCCGAACTCATATTTATGCATTTCTGAATACACCTTATACAAAAATAACGTTTTTAAAAAAATTCTGCTCGTCAGTATCATTGGGTCGGTTCCGGATACAAAGTCGTGATAATGTATCAATAACTGTTTAATAATTATAAAAAGTAGTATTGATATTAATTAATTATTAGAAAAGTTAAGAAAGGACCGCAAGGTGTTAAAATTTCCGGAATAGGCATGTAAATAGTAAAAGTGTGTAGGCGCATTACCTAATTCTAATTATGCTACTAGTACTTGGTATTTCCATAAAACTAATTAATTATTCATATTTTTAATTAATTTTATGAATAAATCCGGGTGCTAAAATAGTAGAAGAGAAACCTGGTCCACATAGTATGTAATTATAATTTAATTTCAAAATACTTTTAGAATTTACTTAAAATATTACGATTATTATTATATTTTGACATTATTATGTAATATAAAATTACATGACAACCAAAAATGTTGATCCAAACTTAGTTAATATATTTCCTTAATTAATTTTGCATTTATTATTTAAGAATTTGGAACTGGTTGAGAATATTAAACGTCTACATTTAGGGTAAATAAAATTGAGAGTAAATTTTCACTCGAAATCAACACAATTGTTAATTAAAACGAGTCCACACTCAATTGTGTTGAAATAATAACACTATGCGTTCACTCAACCACTGAACTTTCATAAATGATTACAAGTCACGCGACTGCCGAGCTTAGGAAACCTAACATTGCACGATTGGTACTGTCCACTAAAAATCCCTAAATCTTAGCGTCACCAATATTAATGATTCGTTTACAATGAACAATAACAAACCGTTACGCTCGAGATAATGCGATCGCTGATTGGTAGACAGAATCTCGTGAAAAATTATCAGCCTGTGAAAGAGAATGTTTTAATTTTACCAAAACTTAATTGCCAACGTGAAGTAAAATTACTGTTACATTCAAAATCATTGATTACCTACGTGGCTTGTAATCATTTATGAAAGCTCTGTATGTGTTCGCTAAATAAATCTTATATTAATAACATTGAATAACTTTTTGAGTTAGCTTGCTAAACTATGTGTCATATTGGTCCAGTACAACCAATAGTAACTAAAATTCTTAATTAATCTTAAGGTATTTGTTGTGTGAGAGCAGAGTCCAAACAGTGCATCTGTATGTATTCATACACGACTTTGTGTTCCTCCTATTCATAAATATTAACAACAAATGGAGTGATTTTTACATATTTTAGTTCATCATTAAAAATTGTATTGATAAGGTCATTTTTTTACTAAAATTTAACAAAATCAGCACCAAAATAATTTCACTCCTAAATAACCTTGAATTTACACCGCTATTTTTATTGTGTAATAAAAAATATTTGGAATAACATGATTACCTATATTACTGAAAATGTATGTAGTACCTACCTACTTATTGTAAGTAGAGGACATTTTTTAACAGTTTTCTGTATAACAAGTATGAAAACAAAGTGACAATTAATTCCTCCTATCGATTGTAAAAACTTAATAAACGAAATAAGTAAATTTGATCATTAATTAAATATTTTTTCTCCATGGCTTCTTTATTTTTTTTCTCCCATATGTTTGTGAAAATATCCATCATACCTATAGACAAATTATTTCGTATGAACGTTCAGAATTTGAATGAATTTTAATAATAACACTTTTAACAAGTTCTCAGTTAAATATTTTCGGAAGAAATTATGAGACTATGCTAGCAAAAGGAGATGACGTTTTGCTCTCAAGCTGTCATCAGTTTCCCTAAATGAATAAACAGCAGCTATTAGTTAGACAAATGGATGCCATGATCTTACATTACCGCAGAAGGAGACAATTATTTTACTATCAAGAAGTAATAAAGGTTACGCACGACAGTACAAGTATTTAATAAAATAAAATGTAATAATTAAAAAATCATGAGATTTTTTCTTAAAAAATCGCTCATATAATTACAATAATTATATTGACTGACCATCCTCGAGTAGAGTCAGTTTACGGAATTGTGCAATTACGACTAAAGTGTTAAATTGATTGATTATTAATGATTGTTAAAATTTTTGTTTGTTGATAACAAAAAATACTGGTGAACTGATTGATAATTTCATTGATTTTTGTAAGTGGATGTAAAAGTGTTTTACATCGTGGATGTAAACATTTTGACACTTAATAAATATCATGTAAAATTCAACATTTAATGACAGTTTTTGAAAAAATAATAAAAGGTTCAACAGGACCCAAAATAAAAAAAAACCTTAAAAAAACACTAATATTTATGTAGGAGGGGAAATGTAATTAAAAATATGTTCATCTAAAAAAAAGAATTCAGAAAATAAAAGTATTAGACGTGCCTATATTATAGTAACACGTTCTCTATTAAAAGAATAGGTATGTTAAAATGAATGGGTTATAAAATTGATCACACTGTATTAAGCCATAAGGATAATAAAATATCTATAACCAAAGTTTGTTACGCTATATGTCTTTGACTGAATTATGTTTATGCATCATTGTCCGACGGTTTTCAATTCGATTCTAATTTATTTCATATTTTGTCTGTTATTTCTTCATTTTTTCATCTGTTAGGTGTTCTGTGAGTCACCAGTCACCAAATTAACTCTGTTTCAAATAATATTTCATCGTATAATATATGTATTTAATATTAGTAGTTAACATTTTCTATTAAATACTTATTCCCCTCTGCTGCTCCATTATGTCAATCTTATTCTTGCGATTCTTGGGACTTTTAATTGAGTTATTACTAAATATGTTTTACTTTAGAGGTACCTTAGTCAGAAGTATTCGTCCTTTATTTCCAAATATCTTGGTGAAGATTGTTTACTTTTTAAGGATCGTATATTTTTATTCAAATATATATAGCTTTTAATATTTAAATGTGTTATATTATCTTACGTGTCCTATTTGGCGCTTGATTTAACAAAAGATTTAATATAAGTACAATTGGAATATCCAAGAGGTAGGTAGTACAACTGTAGTTTGATATTTTTCACTTTCTTTTATACTAAATAATAACGGAATGTTATCCTTTTCTATGAGGACAGCATAGAGCTTGAACTCATAGGAGTAATCTATAAATATTGGTGCAGCCACTTGCACCTTTGAGTGGACTGTATTTTATGTTTTCATTTGTAAAAACTTGCTTACCACGTTCCCAGGAACAGGCACTTACTTTTAAAGTATCAAAGGGGTAAAAGGACGGAAAGAAAAGGAGAATCTTTGATATTTTACAATTTTAACCTCGTACTAATCACTATAGATGTATTAACTAACAACTCACAAAACAACTGACTGATTCTACCAAAAATTCATTCTAATAGCCGACTTGTGGCCTCTTCTTTTTTTTTTACAGTTTCTTTTTTCTTCTTTTTTGTAGCAAAGATAAAGGCATGGCTACACCAAATATACTTCACAAGAGTAAGATAGCAAAATCTGACTGAAACTGTAAATACATAGGTGCACCTTCAAAATTATACCTAGTCGATTTTTATATTTATTAAGTTTATTTTTAGTTACTTATTTTAAGAATGAATATATTTTTAGAAAATTATCGCTGAACCTAATTGTTTATTTAGATAGGTATTTTTTCTGTAAGTATTATATTAAACACTGAACATTAGTTATAAGAACATATTTTGAGACCACTTGGTAACAATAATTTTATTAGCCAGATACTCCGTATCTGCTTACTTTTAGTTGTTGTAAATATTTAGTTTGCTTTTGAAAATATTTACAGATGATAACCGTTCGACATATGTAAGCAAACAAAAATTATGTAAAAGTAGATAAAGCAGTTCCGTTCCTACAAATAGTATCACCGATAACAGAGAAGGAGTGAAATGCTATTGATATCCTTTTTGTTGTTCAAATGACTTTGCAACATCATAATCTTAAGACGGGTGGTATATTGCAAGTGATACAGACGTTAGTGACGTGAATATCTGAGACTGTAGTAGAAAAGTAATTATTACATACCCGCTGGTTTGGGAACATTTCTCTTCACTTGCATCCATTTGTAAGTTGGCAAAACGGGTTGGGGTTGGGGAACTGCGTTTATACCATGCATAGCGTGATGTTGGCGGAGTCTATGTCCTTCTGGTCCCTGTAACAGTTCTTCTTTATACCTTTGAAGATGCTGGAACTCCATACAAGCATTAGGCGGTGCATTCGGTGCCATTAGATGGGAATGGTGGTAATTACCATCAAGTTCTACTTGGTGATTGTGATATTTGTTCTCGTGCGAATAACTGTGGTGCAAGTGGTGATTATCAGAGCCTTCTTCGTGATGCTGGATAAGAATATCTGATGGATGGGTTCTGTAGTTTTCGTTGTAGTTATTTTGATGGTGATAAATGGTATTACTGTTCGAATTAGCGTAATCCAGATTAGTGTAACTTAATCCTGTATCGGTATTGATAATTGGATTCTCTTGCATTTGCTGTGGGTGATAATAATTAAGATCTTGAGGAGAAGGAGGTGTATCCGCAGTATCTGTAACAGTGGCTCCGTACAGGTATGACGGCTCTTCATAATGGTAATTAGGGGCATAATGGGTCTGAAATTGGTGATGGGAACCGGAATGGTTAAGTTCACTTGAGTAATTATAATAGTTAGAATCCGTAGAATTGTAAGCCGCACTGTGTTGATTGTGGTGACCGTACATACTTATGTCCATCATCATCATTTTCACACAGTCCTTATTGTAAGTGTGCGCAATTATCCACGGCACAGAATATCACTGAAGCAGCACTACTCCGGCATATTTTACAACTACACGCTTGACTAGCCGATACCGGACTGGAAAGCAAAGTCAACATACCTATTGAGTCCCTTGCCTGTACACGAAACGGTGTGTTTCGTTTATCGTAAAGCTTAAGGCGGGGCTTCATTTCCCACGTGTCTTGCGCACACAACTTGGTAACCAATGAAAACACGTTGATGTGAAAAAGATGTGATGCTGTGTGAGGGATTGGCCAGCATCCAGCCATCATTGTGCTCTTTGTACAAGAACATTTCAATTCTCCTGAATGTTACAAGTGTCAGCTACCGTGTGTGACATGACAGCCTTCCTTGTATTGTTCGCATGTGGTGTTTCGAATGGGTTGTGGCCTGATTGTTATCGGCCTTTGCATAATATTATTTATAAAATGCATTCAGATATTAGATAAATGGCAAATTGGCCGTCACACAGGTCTTGTTTTCAGTGAGGTAACAAAAGTGTTTATAATCCTTTAGAAACGAACACGTCACTATACGATAGCTTTATCCGCAGAAACATTTATTCATGGCTATTATTTTGTGTGTGATTTGAATATACATAAATATTTTTGGCGTGAGGAGCTATTTATAAAAAAATATATTCTTTCGCTGTGCAGAAATATCCTATTAAATAAAAACATCAACATCATCAACATAAAATGATACAAATAAGTAGTTACAGACAGTATGTATAAAATAATAGCTCATTTCAAAATTGCCTACGTATCTAACAAATAAAACATTATCATCGCCTATCTTTAACCAATCATAAAGAAATACCTACCTGAGAGTGTATGCGATTTTTGGAAGCGATCAGTTATCATTCCTTATTTATATTCAGTTATAATATCACAAGAGCATAGAAAATATTCGATTATACTTCCGAGTCACGAGATGTATTCTGCGAAACACCACGACAGCGTAGCTGGAGTGGTGTTTTAAGGATATACGTCGAGTGAGGAGGTTAGTATAATCGAATATTTTCGTTTGCTCGAGTGGTATTCGATACGCTTATATAATTCAGAGCTTGAACCGATGCGTTCCATTTTTTTTTGACGTTTATTGACAAATGTTAAAACTATCGTTACCATGACATAGTTCACATTGTTGGAGGAGGCGAAACTCCAAATCGGTTATACCACGTCGTCAAGAGTATAATCGCTTATCAATACATAGTAACTACGTAAAATTTGTAATTGCTATTGGCTAAATTTCTAATGAATTATATAATCACTGATATCCGCACTTGAACAGCGTTTTTCTAACGAACATTTACCAGCTTTTAGTTTAATGTCGCTACATCCCAGTTCAATGTTAAATATGACACTGGTTGATTTTAAAGAAAAAGCACAAGATTTCTGCCAGTACTATGATCTTCCTCTTTTTGAACTTGAAGCGGAATTATGGTATAAATTGTGGAAAGATCAAGGTAAACAAAGTGAAGATCTAAAAAACCATATAGGTACCTCATTCATAAATACCTAGATATAAAGAGGCGACAAATATAACTTAAACCTAACATTTCAACTCAAAGTGTTGACTAATTCTATCCTAGTTTACGGTCTGTTTTATTTTCTTACTTTTCATTTACTTATATTTTTGATAAAGTTCGATTGAGGATGCTTCTTTTTATTATAATTTTATGAAATAATGTTAATGCATGTAATTTTCTACAATTTGACATATTTAACCATTCAGCTTTTTTTAATGTATGTCCATCAAATTTTCTTATTCCACATATAAGGCGTAAGCACGAATTTTATCTTTTGCAGGCGATTAGAATCATAAACAGAGAGGCAGGGTCCATAAACGAAGTCGCAGTAATTTGCATTACTTAAAACAAGAGAATGACAGAGTATTTTTTTAAATTTTATATCAAATAAATGTCTGCATTGGTATAATGTTTTTAATTTTAGATAAGACTTTTGCAGAATGAAAGAAATATGATCGGTGAACTTTAACTTACTGTCGAATATAACACCCAGGTTTTTTGCTTTTTGTGTTGGTTGTAAAGCTAAACTATCAATTTTTATGGGAGTATTATACAACAAATTTCAGGGTAACTTTTTTTTCTCATTATGTATATCGTTTAAAGTTTTTTTTCGAGACAAAAACTACTTGCTGAATTCCAAAACTCTTCTCCAATATTATAATTCAATTTACCAATTTTTGTTTTGGACAGAAATGCACATTTTTTGGGAATCAATTGAAATAAATTACCAATCTATCCATTACTCGATCCTTTGGATCCATTAATCTTATTAGCTTTATGGAATTCGAAAAAAAGTTGTTTTACCTTATTTTTTTCCCCAGGAATACCCTTTACATACATATTACGCTCTAGGAAATTTTGAGATTATCTAATTGCATGTTTATCTAATGGTTCGATATCTAATTTACCGCTACTGATGGTAGTTATCACATTACTTATCATGTTGCATTTTTATGTGAACAGGAGACCTATATAATGAGGTTCTCATGATATATTTGATGTTATCAGCTGAAACATTGCCTCTAAGAAGTGAGATGATGTATTACCAACTCTGTTTAAGTTCTGAACATTTTATTGACTGAGATTATCTTTACAAATATATTACGTAATTACAGGATTTTCAAATTAATTTTGTAAAACTGATATAAATATAAAAATGTATAAATAAATAAAATTCCATAACAATATTTAGTATAAAAAAAGAATATGAATAAAGTTCTCAGAATTAACTTTAGGTACCTATATTCTGCACCTAACGAAGAGAAATATAGGTATACGTAAAGGTCTTATACCAAAGCAGTTAGTTATACCTTCAATTAAAATAATGAAGTAATCTTAAATTAGGGTGTTGCGTAAAGATATTATTATTCTTTAAATATATAAAAGAGAGTCGCTTATAGATAAGCAGTCATAATCCAATAATACCTAGAACAATTTTAAATATTTAACTATAAAAATGCTATTTCTAGCGCCACCATAGATAAAACGATGACTGTAGAAGATAAATCGTAAGTATTAAAATTTCAGCTTCTATGGTTTAGCCCAGATTTGTTTGAATTAATTTTAAAACGTCTTGTTTTGTATTAATACCCTTTCTGTAGAAGAGCATTCAAAATGTTATAAAATCACAAAAAAATTATTGCAATAACAACGTGAGTGCAAATATTCATTGTCTTAAACACTTTTGAGAAAAATGTTAAAGATTATAGGATGTTTTAAAAAAATATTTAGAAAAAAATATTTAGAAATAAAACAATTTGTCAAATCTTTCCTAGGAAAAGGCACTACATTTTTGAAAAGAAATATATATATATATATATATATTTTCATTTTTGGGAATTACCATTATAGCAAAAATTAGTTTCTAATTAAGTGGTATTGAAATTCGAATGACAAATTTCAAATAGAAAGGAAAAATGAGATACCAAATTATCGAAAAATTCTTAAGATGAATTCATCAGGAAAAGTGAACTTTGACACAATACATACGCACAATTTCCCTAGTTTTGCGATATTTTAAATAAAGGTTTACTAGATGAGATTTTAAAATTACTTTTTGACAAATACTTCCCTGTAGGCAAAAGAAAAACAAATAAAATGTTTGCCTATAGACTAATGCACACAGAAAATATAATAAATACAAGTCAGAGGACTTAATTTTCAGTTACAGAGTTTCTTCTAAAGATATGTCTCTCAAAAAGTCAAGCTGGTGACATGGCAATCAACTCGGAAATTGTTCAGCCAATTGATTAGCGTGCCATCTAGATTAGATGAAAGATGTAGATAATTATATTTTATCTAGATACCTAATTGGTCTAAATAACATAATGTAGTTAATATATAACTAGGTAAAAATAAAAATATATATGGGATTAGAGTTTTAATATAACTTAATGAGACTGTAAAGTATGTTTTCTATAAACTTGAGATAGACTTCAAGATTTTCTGCTAAGATATAGTATTAATCAGTTTGTTACTAGGTATATTATGTACTAAATTAAGTTTTAATATTCAGATCGAGTAAGTATTCTCACTGAAAAGAGTCTATTTGGCTACCGGGTGCTTGATTTTTTATTGGTTCAGTGCGTTGGTAGGTTTATAATGATAATATGATTTGATGCAATTCAGTGAGATCAGGAAGAAATACTTTTGCTTTAATAAATTTATTTTTACAATATAAAATTGCATGAAACTTAAAAACAAAAAAACAAACAAATCGCTTAGTATTTAAAAGTGATTTGACTATAGTAGGTATACGAGTAATAATATTTTCATTATTTTGTATATATATAATAAATATAAGTTATTTATCTGGAGTTACTTTTTTTGGGTATAAATATTATTACACACAAGATGAATGCAGTTAATTATTTTTTATAGAAATTTTTGCGAAAATTTATTAATAACATACACATATTCCATTTAAGCAGTATCCTCCCCCTCCTACATGACGTGGGCTGCAGAATTTGGTGCATTCTGGTTCTTTCAGTAAAAAGTCACATTTAATATGACGAGCTACATAGACATAAGGATTTGATGCTGGTGTAACTGCAAATTAATATTCAATAAAGTGTGAGAATATGTAATAATAAATTTAAAATTATGTTAGAGGTTTCAGGTCCACAAAGAGATTTGCGTTAGAATTTTTATTATGTTTTGTGAGCTCAGTATTTTGTCATTATAGTTTGTCAAAGTTCATGGTATTACTCTAGCTTTATTTAAAAACAGTATTTTATTTAAAATCTGACACATCGTTTTCTACTAAAATGGTGGGATTGTCACACCGTTCTATTCTTTTGGCAGATCAAACTGACAATGAGAAATATTTGCAGAAGTTTATTGCTTAGTGTTTTAGCTACAGTTTGATTGATATTTTTTATTTTATAAGCTTACATTATTGTGTCATTTCTTCCTCTAATTAATTGGGATTCGTCGAGAAAGAGCCATTTAGAAATCTAATATTTTTCTTATAAGCAAGGAAATAAGTTCCTATATTGAAAAGTAAAAAGAGCTTTTTTAAATTGCCGTAAA